AGTCCTAAGAGGGAAGTATACAAGCAATACAGGCCTTCCTCAAGAAACAAGAAAAGTCTCAAATACACAACCTAACCTTACACCTAAAGGAGCTGTAAAGAGAAGAGCAAATAAAGCCTAAAGCCGGCAGGAGAAGAAAAAGAATAAAGATTAGAGCAGAAATCAATGATATAGAAATAAAAACAAAAAAACAAAAAAACAAAACAGTAGAACAGATCAATGAAACTAAGAGCCGGTTCTTTGAAAGAATTAATAAGATTGATAAACCCCTAGACAGACTTATCAAAAAGAAAAGAGAAAGGACCCAAATAAATAAAATCATGAATGAAAGAAGAGAGATCACAACCAACACTGAAGAAATACAAACAATTATAAGAACATATTATGAGCAATTATATGCCAACAAATTGGGCAATCTAGAAGAAATGAAAACATTCCAAGAAACATATAAACTACCAAAACTGAAAGAGGAAGAAATAGAAAAGCTGAACAGACCCATAACCAGCAAAGAAACTGAAGCAGTAATCAAAAATCTCCCAACAGAGTCCAGACCTTGTTGGCTTCCCAGGAGAATTCTACCAAACATTTAAAGAAGAGTTAATACCTATTCTTCTGAAACTGTTTCAAAAAACAGAAATGGAAGGAAAGCTTCCAAACTCATTCTATGAGGCCAGCATTATCTTGATCCCAAAACCAGACAAAGACCCCACTAAAAAGGAGAATTACAGACCAAAACCCCTGACGAACATGGATACAAAAGTTCCCACCAAGATACTAGCTAATAGGATCCAACAGTACATTAAAAGATTTATTCACCATGACCAAATGGGACTTATTCCTGGGCTGCAGGAGTGGTTCAAAATCTACAAATCAATAAAGCACATTAATAAAAGAAAGGTTAAGAGTCATATGATCTTCTCAATAGATGCAGAAAAAGCATTTGACAAAATACAGCATACTTCCTTGAAAAAAAAACTCACAAAAAAGTAGGGATGGAAGGAACATGCCTCAATATCATAGAGGCCATATACAAAAGACCCATAGCTACTATCATCTTCAATGGGGAAAAAATGAGACCTTTTCCCCAAAGGTGAGGAACACGACAAGGATGTCCATTCTCACCACTGTTGTTCAACATAGTATTGAAACTCTTAGCCTCAGCAATCAGACAACAAAAAGAAATAAAAGGCATCTGGGGCAACTAGGTGGCTCAGTCGTTAAGCATCTGCCTTTGGCTCAGGTCATGATCCCAGGGTCCTGGGATCAAGCCCCGCATTAGGCTCCCTGCTCAGCCAGGAGCCTGCTTCTCCCTCTCCTGCTCCCCCTGCTTATGTTCCCTCTCTAGCTGTCTCTCTCTGTGTCAAATAAATAAAATCTTTGGGGCACCTGGGTGGCTCAGTCGTTAGGCGTCTGCCCTCAGCTCAGATCATGGTCCCAGGGTCCTGGGATCGAGCCCCGCATCAGGCTCCCTGCTCTGCGGGAAGCCTGCTTCTCCCTCTCCCACTCCCCCTGCTTGTGTTCCCTCTCTCGCTGAGTCTCTCTCTGTCAAATAAATAAATAAAATCTTTAAAAAATAAATAAATAAATAAAATCATAAATAAATGACATCCAAATCAGCAAGGAAAAAGTCAAACCTTCACTCTTCATAAACGACATGATACTCTATGTAGAAAACCCAAAAGACCCCACAAAAAAATTGCTAGAACTGATACAAGAATTCAGCAAAGTCACAGGATATAAAATTGACACATAGAAGTCTGCTGCATTTCTATACACTAACAATGAAGCAGCAGAAAGAGAAAACAATGCATCAATCCCATTTATAATTGCACCTAAAACCATAAGATACCCAGGAATAAACCTAACCAAAGAGGTAAAAGATCTGTACTCTGAAAATTATAGAACACTTATGAAAGAAATTGAAGAAGACACAAAGAAATGGAAAAACATTCCATGCTCATGGATTAGAAAAACAAATATTGTTAAAATGTCTATACTATCTAAAGCAATCTACATATTCAATGCAATCCCTATCGAAATAACACCAGCATTTTTCACAGACCTGGAATAAATAATTCTAAAATTTGTATGGAACCAGAAAAGACCCCAAATAGCCACAGGAATGTTGAAAAAGAAAACCAAAGCTGGTGGCATCACAATTCCGGACTTTACACTGTATTACAAAGCTGTAATAATCAATACAATATGGTACTGGCACAAAAACACATAGATCAATGGAACAGAACAGAAAAGCCAGAAATGGACCCTCAACTCTATGGTCAACTAATCTTCAACAAAACAGGAAAGAATATCCAATGGAAAAAGAACAGTCTCTTCAACAAATGGTGTTGCGAAAACTGGACAGCTACATGCACAAGAATGAAACTGGACCATTTTCTTACACCACACACAAAAATAGACTCAAAATGGATGAAAGACCTCAATGTGAGACAGGAATCCATCAAAATCCTAGAGGAAAACACAGGCAGCAACCACTTAGAGTTCGGCCACAGCAACTTCTTACTAGACATGTCTCCAGAGGCAAAGGAAACAAAAGCAAAAATGAACTATTGGGACTTCATCAAGATAAAAAGCTTCTGCGTGGCAAAGGAAATAATCAACAAAACTAAAAGGCAACCTATGGGATGGGAGAAAATATTTGCAAATGACATATCAGATAAAGGGCTAGAATCCAAAATCTATAAAGAACCTGTCAAACTCAACACCCAAAAAGCAAATAATCCAGTCAAGAAATGGGCAGACGACATGAACAGACATTTCTCCAAAGAAGACATACAAATGGCCAACAGACATATGAAAAAATGTTTAACATAACTGGGCATCAGGGAAATACAAATCAAAACCACAATGAGATTCCACCTCACACTAGTCAGAATGGCTAAAATTAACAACTTATGGAAACAACAGATGTTGGCGAGGAAACAGAGAACCCTCTTACCCTGTTGGTGGGAATACAAACTGGTGCAGCCACTCTGGAAAACAGTATGGAGGCTCCTCAAAAAGGTAAAAATAGAACTACCTACGACCCAGCAATTGCACTATAGGTATTTATCCAAAGGACACAAAAATAGTGATTTGAAAGGGCACATGCGCCCCAATGTTTATAGCAGCAATGTCCACAATAGCCAAAATATGGAAAGAGCCCAGATGTCCATCGACTGATGAATGGATAAAGAAGATATGATATACATGTGTGTATATATATGTGTGTGTGTGTACACATTACATATGTATGTATATGTATATATATACACACATTGTACATATGTGTGTGTATACACACACACACACATACACAATGGAATATTACTCAGCCATCAAAAAGAATGAAATTGCCATTTGCAATGACATGGATGGAACTACAGTGTATTTTGCTATGCGAAATAAGTCAATCAGAGAAAGACAAATACTATATGATTTCACTCATATATGGACTTTAAGAAACAAAGCATATGAACATAGGGGAAGGGAAGGAAAAATAAAATAAGATAAAGACAGAGAGGAGGCCAACCATAAGAGACTCTTAAATATAGGGAACAAACTGAGGGTTGCTGGAGGGGTGGGGGGGTAACTGGGTGACGGGCATTAAGGAGGGCACTTGATGTAATGAGCACAGGGTGTTATATGCAACTAGTGAATCAGTAAATTCTATCCCTGAAACTAATAATGCAATATATGTGAACTAACATGAATTTAAATAAAATCTTGAAAAAAAAGAGAAAAATAATGAAATGCAAATTTAAAACACAATTATATACCATTCATACCCACAGATTATCAAGTTTTAAAGTTGACAATTCCAAGCATAGACAAGGATATGGAACAACGGGAACTCTGATACATTGCTGCTTATAAGTGCAGCCACTTTGTAAAGCTCTTTGATCTGGTCTATCAAAGTTGAAGACCCAGCAATTCCACTCCTAGTCAAAATAACAACCAATATTCCATTTCCCACAACCTGCAAGTATGACTCCAAGGGAGCTCTGGCCCACAGCACTATAGGTCACAGCCCCAGGACATCTGATGGGCACTAGGTATTTCCCTACTGGGGTCCAGGGACTACCCTACTATACACAGCCAGAGACCCAGAACTTTTGGGGGCTGGGTGATGGGCTCACACATCTGGAGGGGCATGAGAGTAGCTCCTCAGCAGTGACTAAACACGGCTTCCCAGGGCTGCCACAGAGTTAAAAGGAAATTTAGGAATTTGGGTCAGTGGTTTTTTAGCAACTGGAACAAAAATTGCAAGGTTTTAACAGTTGGCATCCCCTTAATAATCACCTTAATATTATTTACTGGTTGCACATTAATCATAAATTTTCCCCAAGGAAACTTATGCACATGTACAACAGAATACATTAAAAGAATTTTAAGTAACCACTGATTAATCATAAGCAAAAAAAAAAAAAAAAAAAGAAAAGCAAAAAGGAAAATGGATGATAATGAAAACAGACCAATGTGGATGAGTCTCACAAATTGGAGTTGAGAGGGAAAAAAAAGACAAAAGAACACATACACTATGATTCTTTCATATAAAGGTTTGTTTGTTTTTTTTTAACATTTTATTTATTTGACAGAGAGACACAGCAAGAGAGGGAACATAAGCAGGGGGAGTGGGAGAGGGAGAAGCAGGCTTCCCGCTGAGCAGGGAGCCTGATGATGCAGGGCTCGATCCCAGGACCCCGGGATCATGACCTGAGCCGAAGGCAGACGCTTAACGACTGAGCCACCCAGGCGCCCCTCATATAAAGGTTTTAATAGGTAAAACTAAACTATACTGTATAGAGAACCATAAATCATAAAGAAATGCAAGGAAATGATTAGTAGACTTGTGAAGGAGAAGGCTGGGTACAGAAAGGATTCTGGGGCAGTAGAAATGTCCTTTACTTTTTAACTCATCTGTGTAAGTTTAATGAACTCTTCTCTATTATCTTCTATTTTGCAATAAAAGGGAAAAAAGTAAACATCTTCAAATAAGAGCTGGGAGCAGTGGCAGTTGGCAGCTGAAATATGGTAGCACAAATGACCTGAGAACTGGGCAGAGCTAGTATGAAAGCAACAAACAGGAAAGTGATTGGATAATAAAGGGCAGAAATGGTATTTATTCAAAGACAGATTATCACAGGACACAGAGCACCTGGACAGATGTGGAAGAGCTTCTTAGATCAGAGAGAAACTTCCAAGGCTAGTCTGCCAAAGAAAAATGGGCACCAAGGGCAAAGTAAGCAAATATACTGTTTCTTTATTTGATTCTTGGTTTTTTTGTCTCTTTATAAATTTACTAAAACAAACTTCCTTCAGGATTACTCTCAGAAAGCAGCAATTTATTAAAGCTGATCAAAAAGATTTGAGTGAACTCATGCTAGGAATTTAAGGAAATTACTGTGGATTTGCCAAAATGCTTACTACCAAGAGTGTTCAATTAAATATTACTTATAAAGGCCAAAAAAAGAGAGACTTGAGTACCTATGCTATGACAACAAAATAGAATTTGCATCTGTTAGAAATAAAGCTAGAGAAGAATATGGAAAATATTTATAGTATATTAATAAGTAGAAGAAGTAGATTACGAAGTATTACATACAAAAGATCCCATATAGGGATACTGAAAAAATTTACATCAAAAATCATAAAATGAGTGATAAAATTACAGGTGGATTTTGTTTCTTTTATTCTTATTTGTATTTTGAAACTTCCCATAATTAATATATATTGCATCTGCAATAAGACTCATGATATTTAAAAATATAATTCAAAATTGCGTAACAACTATCAAAAATTATATATTCATGTGTCAAAGACCGGGAAAACCATACCAAAAGCAAAAATAGTAGCATTAGAATAGAGGATTATAGATTTGTTTCTTTCCACTTTCCTTCAATGTTACTTAAATTTAAATTTTTAAATATAATTTTAATTAATTCTAGTTTATATAATTATCTGTTAATTATATAATTAATCTCCCCCTCTCCCTCTCTCTCAGGTTATTAAATGCAAAGCAGCCATTGCCTGGGAAACAGGCAAGCCCCTTTGCATAGAAGAGGTTGAGGTAGCTCCCCCCAAGGCTCATGAAGTTCGTGTGCAGGTAAGTGGGACTTTTCCTAGCCGGTACACACGAGGCACTAAGTGCAGACTTGGCTTCTTCAGGTCCAGCCTGCGTGGCATAACTGAGAGGACCTGAAGTTTTACCTACAGCAGAACTACATTTTTAGGCCCAGATTAAAAAAAGGCATTATCCCAGGAGGGGTAAATTACTAATTATCAGTTGTTACTGTTAACAGGCTTAACATTTATTTCTACTATCTTTATATTACTCATTAGCCCTAAGAATTAGACCAAGGAATTCACTTCAGATGAGAATTAGTTAGGTTTTCTTTTTGTTTTCCAGTTGCCAGTTATTAAGTGTTATTAAAAGGAAGATAAAAAATTTGGTTCAAAACAAGGGAGAGGAAAGACCTGAAGGGCTGCCTGGAGCAGTAGAAGAGGCCTAGGGGCCCACGGTGGCGGAGGGGGGGCGGGGAATGTGGGTGAGCAAGGAAAAGAGACCACACTGAGGAGACCGTGATCACAGATCGAAAGTCAGCAGAACTTCTCCATTTTCCCCACAGCCGGCCTGGCTTACATTTTTCCTAGGACCACTACAGGACAGGTTTATACATGAGAATGAATAGGATATCCTCACAAGCAGAATCCTGAAGAGTAAGGGGTATGTTAGTAACTGAGACAATCCTTTATCTGTTATCTCTTTGAATTATAAAAATTGTATTATTTCTATTTCATTTCATATCATTTCAACAAAATTTGCACAAGCCCTAGAAACCTGTGTTCCCTCCATTCCCTCTTCCTAAAAGATTCTGTTCAACTTTTCCCTATTACCTTTGGTTTCTCCTCTCCTGGAGACACTAACTGCCAATTCCATCTTTGTATGATTTTCCAGTGGCAATGAAAGAAAACAAAGGCTTAGAAGAAAAGAATATATGCTGATATTTTTAATTATTCTTTTTTTTTTTCCAAAATGTAATTCTTTTATTGAGCTCTAGGAATGTTGTAAAGTTTCAAGGTGACATTGGGCCTAAAAAACTACTCTCCTAACAACCACAATGATATGACAGAAACAGCCCTCAAGTCTGTGGTTGCCTTCTAGATAATCGCCACTACCCTGTGCCATACTGATGCCCATATTATCAATCCTAAATTTAAAGAGGCCCTTCTCCCAGTGATCCTTGGCCATGAGGGTGCAGGAATTGTGGAAAGTGTTGGGCCAGGAGTGACCAACTTCAAACCAGGTATGTTCTTTCCTGAGTCCAATTAAATGGAAATGTCAGGATATTTCAAGGACTGATAAGAGTCCTCGCTTTGCATGCTATAGCTGATCTCTATTTATACAGGGGAGCCCCATCTGTTCCAAAGACAAACTAAGTGAGACATACAATCTATCACAGTCTAACAAGGGGACAGAATATGTGAAATCAGAACCAATAAAATCTGGAAAATATGGTCACTTTATTTACATATAGCATTGAGAAACTGCTGTGAAGCGAAGCCACAAAGTGGGGCACAAATGGAAAATTTATAACAACCTCTTCTAAATAAAACCAAAATAATTTAATATCATAAAGAATTTAAAGAATGAGGACTTAGAGTTAGCTTGAGAAATATTATATATGTCAATGTTAGCTTAATGTGTCTTTTTGAAACTCTGTAACATAAAAATAGTATGTAAATGGAGCATGGCAATGGCTGAAATCATTTACTTCACATTTTATAACATATTCACAAAATACTGGAATATTGGTTACCTAATACTCACTTGTCATGTAGGATGACCCATATCATTCTTTCCTCCTCTAATGAGAATGCTTCAAACCTAGAAATATTTTAGATTCCATTCCCAAGCAAGATCAGAGAAACAAACTGCTCCCATAAGTTCTGCATCCATCAATGAGTCTGGCCGATGCAGTCCTAGCTCTGCCACTTGCTGGATGTGTACTCCACCAGTGAAGTCACTTTTCTGTGACACAGCTCAGATTTCTGTTTCCTAAAGTGGGGAGAAAAGGTACCCATCTCAAAGGATTGTCTGAGAATTAAATGAGATAGTATGGGTAAGCAGTTAGTAGGGTGCCTAGCACATACTAAATGGTCATCAGAGAATAGAAGCCATTATTAAATTGAAATTGAGTAAAAGGCAGAAAAATATAGAATGTGAGAGTGAGGGGCACCTGGGTGGCTTAGCCATTAAGCGTCTGCCTTCGGCTCAGGTCATGATCCCAGAGTCCTGGGATCGAGCCCCGCATCGGGCTCCCTGTTCCATGGGAAGCCTGCTTCTCCCTCTCCCACTCCGCCTGCTTGTGTTCCCTCTCTCACTGTGTCTCTCTCTCTGTCAAATAAATAAATAAAATCTTTAAAAAAAAAATGTGAGAGTGAACTAAATGGTGACACATGGCAATGACATAAAGTTTAATCTCCATATCCAGCACATTGTTGTCCACCTCTCCTATTATATAAGGATGTTCTGTTCAATACTGGATGTTTAGAAATGTAAAAAAAAAAAAAAAAAAAAAAAGTCATGATGCAGAGAGTTGTGACGACAACAGAGCTCAGACAGGACTCTGTAGCTAGTGGTATCAATGTAGATTTGTTGCTTGACTGCCCAGCAGCCAAAAAAAAAAAAAGGAAAAAGTTAAAAAGACAGTATATGCAATACTTGGGGGAATCAGCGATCTTGTAAAGCAACAAAATACTACAGCCATCTATACTTTCTGCTGAACATAAAATGTGTATCATAAAGAATGGTGTTTTCTACTGATTCATCTGGTAGAAACTTTTTACAAGCTGTATCTTAGGCACCATCCAACATATGGCCTTTCTTTCCAGGTGACAAAGTAATTCCACTCTACATGCCTCAATGTAGAAAATGCAAGTTCTGTCTGAGTCCACTCACAAATTTCTGTAAAAAACTCAGGTAAGCTCTATACACTGGTTAGTAAGACTATAAATTGGTATAAATATTTGCAAAAGTACACTGGCAATACCTGGATGAAGTTTCTACCTACCAATCCTAGTCCTAGGTGTATACAGGAAATTGTTGCAAAACTACCCAAAGAAACATATGCTAAAATGTTCACTGCAACATTGTTTATAACAGCATGTAAAAATAGCCCAATGTCCACCAATAAGACAATGAATTAACAAATTGCTATGTAGTAACACAGTGGAAAACTATGCAACAATGAAAAGGGTTAAACCTGATCTACATACAACAACATAGAATAATTTCACACACATAATGTTAAGGGAATGAAGCAAGCTTCTGACAAATATGTTTAGTAAGATATCATATACAAAACAGTACAATATACAGGGGCACCAGGGTGGCTCAGTCCATTAAGCCTCTGACTCCTGATTTCAGCTCAGCTCCTAATCTCAGAGTAATGAGATCAAGCCCCGCATCAGGCTCTGCCCTCAGTGGGGAGTCTGCTTCTCTCCTTCTCCCTCTCCCCACTCGCACTGCTCTCTCTCTCAAATAAATAAATAAATCTTAAAAAAAAAAAAACCTATATACAGTATAGTTTACGGTTACATGTGTATGTAGTAAAGGTATAAATACATCACTGGAATGATAAATGCCAAACTCAAAATAGTAGCTACTTCTATAGGAAATGAGAGAGGAATGAAATGAGGTGCAGTAATTTATTCCAAGGCCCACAGATAAAAGTCCTAGAGCTAGATTTTGAACATAGACCGTCTAACTCCAGACTCCAAAACCTTTATCACCTTATTCTTTAATGAGACTACATACAGAAAAATCTATTTGTCCTTAATGCCAAATGAAGCTAGTTATTTCAGAAGCTAAATTGTATTACTCTTACATCTAATACTGTGCCTCAATTTCCTCATCTATAAAATGGGAATAATAATAATGCTTACTTCTCAGGGTTGTTGTAGATATTTAAAGAATTACATACACCCTTTTGCAAACTTTTAATGAAATAATAGATTTTGGCAATGACCATCAATTCTTTCTAACATCACAAAAAGAGAGAGAATAAGGCATTATGTGTCTCCAGATGAAGATACCCAACACCATCTTTGAAATATTCCTACAAAAATATAAAACCTAAATTAAATCAACCAGTTAGATTGAAAATACTAGTTTAGAGGAAATACAGGGATGGAAAAATGTATTAAACCCAATTACAGGAATGTAATCAGAAAAATTCAGAATGAGGAAAACTGTACAGAACAAATGACTGTTTCTTCAACATACAAATTGCAAAGGAAAAAAACCAGGAGGGAGGTGAGAACCTGTCATTTTTTAAAAGAGACAACACACATATCAACGAAATGCAATATGTCAATCTAAAAGAATCTATATTTTTGAGATACATACTAAAATATTTACAAATGAAAATAGTAATGTGTGAGGTTTACTTCAAAACCATCCCATGGGAGGGTAGGTGCTGGGGGAGGGTCGGTGCTGGAGGTGGGGATTGGGGGGGTTAAAGACGCCAGAAGATCAGCCCCGAGATGGTAACTGCTGAAGCTGGGATATGGTTGCACGGACATTCAACACGCCAGTCTTCCTACTATTATATACAGCTGAGTTTTCCATAATAAATTTTTTTTAAGAATTAATACATACAAACCCCTAAGAGAGTTTCTGGCACATAAAAAGTATTCAATAAAAAGTTTATCATCATCTTTAGACTACTTCTGACTACATATTTAGGTGTAAAGTCTCAAGTAATTTTCTCAATTTTTCTATCTCAGAAAATTGTCATAACAAAAATATAACACCTAACCTTTTTTTTCAGGAGTGTAATCAGTGGCCCATTTACATTCTCTTTTTTGTATCTTTTTTTTTTTTTTTTAATTTTCTAGTCCAGTGAAAAATCCTCTTGTTGATCAAGAACTACTGGAAGACAAAACCAGTAGGTTTACCTGCAAAGGAAAACCAATTTACCATTTCATGGGGACCAGTACCTTCACTCAGTACACCGTAGTGTCGGATATAAATCTTGCCAAAATCGATGATGATGCAAATTTAGAGAGAGTTTGTCTGTTTGGATGTGGGTTTTCAACTGGCTATGGAGCTGCAATCAACAATGCCAAGGTAAAAGTGGTTCATCACCAGGTAGCATAAAATAGAATTTTACTAGGAGACGGTGATAAAGCAGCTAGTTACTCTTCAAGCCCTAGCTCTGTCATTTATTACCTCTGTGGCGTAAGGCAAGTTATTTAACCTCTCCACTCCTACTCTCTGCAATAAACATCTACTACAAATAGTTATGGGGCTAATTAAATCAGATTACATACGTAAGACATCTGGCCCAACAGCTGGCATATCGTTGGCACCCGGTTCATGTTAATTTCTTTTCCTATACTAATATGTTAGATTACAGACCACCCCTACCTTAAACACAACATGCTTAAATATGTCCCCTAAATATGAATGCTCACTCTGGGAGAGCAGACCCAGTCAAGAGGCAACAGAAACTAGATATCCCCCATCTCCATAGAATCACCCCTGCTTTCTCCCTGATCCTGCAGATTTCTCTCCCTCCAACTGGTGATTCATCTCTGCTTCTCATCCTGGCCCTTTGTGGCTCCAAGGGAGTGTGCATCAGGTGGCAGCCCTGAGGGTGGCAAGATGCATCCCTGGAAGCCCATGTTAGAATTCAGAAGCTTCCACAAAACTGTTCAGTGAGAACTGGACAGATGTCAGTATCACTTGGATGCCCCAAACAACCCTGGTATTTAAATCTCTTTCTCATCAGTCTTCATCCCTTGAGTTCAAACTGCAAAATGCAACCAGAGTGGTCTTTCTAAACAACAAATGTGAAGATTTCATTCCCCTTGCATACTCCACTTTTCTGTCAGCAGGCTGGTGTTTCTCCCTAACTCTCCCTTCACGGGCTTACCGTTCCCCAAGGCCTGACCCTGAGTATCCGGGTTCCAATCACTGTGACCCTGGGTTTTCCATGCCTGGCTCCCACCAACACTGCCTGGGATGCTCCCCCACCTCTTCTGGCTGACTCCATTTTTTGTTGTTGTTGTTGTTACTTCCTATCAGAAACCCTCCAGCCTCCTAGGCATGCATTAGGTGTCCCTCCCAGTTTCCCCCAAAATATCTGTGTTTATCCCTGTCTTCCTTCTTATCACACTCTGGAGAAATTTTCCATTTATTTCTCCTTCCTTTTAGACTATTTGCTCCTTGAGGGCAAGAACTCTCTCTTGTTCATTGTGATATCTCCAGAGCCTAGCTCTGTGCCTGGCACACAGTAGGAACTGGATAATTTTTCAATGAATGAATGAATGAAGCCAGGCTCCTATGCAACCCTTAAAACATCTTGATAAGGCTTGATCCTCAGCTTAAAAATCCAAATACTCCTTTTTATCAGGTTACCTGGAATTGTTCAAGTGTCAAGGAAATAAACTCAGCCTAACCAAAATAAAAAAGCTGATCTGATAGCCAGAATATCAAGATAAGACTTCCCATTGAGAATTGGTCAAGCAGACAGGAATGCTACTTTTCGCTATCAGTATATTAAAAATGAAAAATTGTATGGGAAGTCAGACTACAATCTGAAGGCTGCTAGAGGAAGGGTATTGTTAACTGAGTGGAGTTAAAAGCAGATGTAACCTTGGCAGTCAAGGCATATTCTCCTCTAGATAGCACTGGAAGAATTATTGCTCTTTGGGCCACCCTCTCCCCTTTCCTGGACCCCATGCAGACTATCACCTTCTCCTACTCTAGTCTTTCTTCAGGAATATTAACACTAGAGACTCAGCTACAGTTTTCTTTAAAATCCATTCAAAGTTGATGTAAATTTCTAGGTCCTGTTCTTCTCACTGTTGAGGAACACTTAAACCACTTCATAGGAGCTTAGGGAAGAAAAGAGAAATGAATCTGATAGGAACAAGTTAAGAGAAGAAATATCAATTCTAGCCAAAAGGCAAGAGCTTTAATAAAGTTTAATTTACTTCTGGGAAGAAAAGTAATGAAACAACTTTGTGTAATTATTGGGAGACCTGTGCCCAGCATCACCAGGACTCCTAATTCTTTTTAATCTGCTCGTATCCTTTACTGACAAATTAATCATATTTCACAGAGATCTTTGGAAGCATGAAAATGTCCCGTAACAGTGTTGTCTACAAATAGATAATCATCCACGATGTACAGTCCTAATTCTCAAATGGGGAGAGGGGTACTTTATAGTGACTCTCCCCCCACTACTGCAATCAAAGGCACTTTTACACATAGCCATCTAGTTGGTTTAACACAATTAATACAGTGTATTCCAATTATACTGTTGTGAGCTATGTACAACTACTGTGTACAACACTGCCTCAATGAGAAAAATGCCCTTTACTCAATGACACAGGCAAACTTTTGAACACAGTCTGTAGAGAAATGTATTTGGAACTATACTGAACACATGCCACAATATTAAATAGCACATTGTGTATATAGAACAATATTCTGAATATTTGTAAAAAATGTTTTATTTTGCCCTGAGTAACAAAAGTCAGTGCATGCTGCCTGATATCATGCATAAATTAAAGTAAGAGATACACATTCTCTCTATTCCTTAATAGTTTTGTTTCCAATTTAGAATGTATCAGTACTTCCGTTGGGCAGATTCCTCTTTCCCTTTTGTTTATGCTTTAAGTCTAACAGTTCCCCATCATCATTAGAAAATATTACTGAAGCATCTCTCTGTGTAGTATTTTTTTACCATTATACACTCTCAGAATAACACATTCCAGTTACAGCAACTTTCCCTATTATCTTGTATATTCAGTTTTTATTTAATTCAATGCAACAAACATTTATTAAATACCCAACCTACAGAATACTCTTAATAGCAATGTAGAAGATAATATGCCTTCAAAGAACTTACAGTCTTTTGAAGAAACACACAAATACAAAATCAATCAACCAAGGCAGATTATAAATACAATACAGAAAAAGCAAAAAGGTGGGCACTAATTCCTGATTGAAGAATCAAGAGAAGTTTTATGGGGAGAGTGTCATTTAAGTTAGGCCTAGAAGTAGAGGTCACATTTTAATCAGAGGAAATAAGGTGAGAAGTGCATCAGGCTGAGGAAACAGCATGAACTGAGGATGAGGAAAGGAAGCCACGACAGTGTAGAGTGACTACAGCAATGGGACTACCACAGAGATGAAGCTGGAAGTTAGCTGGTCAGCTCTAAAAACCCTTCAATTTGATGCAAAGAAATCTGGATTTCATTCCATTTAAATTAACTGATGATTTGGGATGTGAATTAATTCACATTTAGAGAAACAGCACTCATTCAAAACCAACTATATAATACTAATACAACCAAATAAGGCCTATTAAAAATATAAATTAATTATGATCTATTGGAAAAGGAAAACAATAAACCCTTTAAAATGTGTGGGTTTTAAAATTCTGTTCTGACAACAGTAAAGGGAAGAGGAAAACAAGCAGATTATTTTCACTTGGGTTTGTTTCTGAGGAGCTGATAATTCTAATGGCATTCAAATGATTCTCCATATTTAGCCAGTGACCCAGCCATTTTCATATTGGCAGATTTCCCCCATTAGCTATATCATTTAGTTTTATGACAGGCAGTCTTTCATTTACATGTTCCTGCCTCCACCTTCCTCTTTTTTTTTTTTAAAGATTTTATTTATTTATTTGAGAGAGAGAGAATGAGAGAGAGCACATGAGAGGGGGGAGGGTCAGAGGGAGAAGCAGACTCCCTGCCGAGCAGGGAGCCCGATGCGGGACTCAATCCAGGGACTCCAGGATCATGACCCAAGCCGAAGGCAGCCGCCTAACCAACTGAGCCACCCAGGCGCCCTTACTCTCTTTCTTTAAAAAAAAAAGTGAGGCCACTTCCTTTAAAAGTTAATTTATAATTTTGCTGCCTGCAGGTCACCCCTGGTTCTACTTGTGCCATCTTTGGCCTAGGAGGTGTTGGTCTTTCCGCTATAATGGGTTGTAAAGTAGCAGGAGCTTCCAGAATCATAGCTATTGACATCAACAGTGAGAAATTTACAAAGGCCAAAGCCCTTGGAGCCACTGACTGCCTCAATCCTCGAAACCTAGATAAACCCATCCAGGAGTTCATCATTGAAATGACCAATGGAGGTGTGGATTTTGCCCTTGACTGTGCAGGTGGACCTGAAACCATGGTATGTCTATTTTTTATAAAAGTATATAATAAATTACATTTAGTAACATTAATAAACATTGGCAATATGTTTATATTGAGATAGTTATTTTACATTTAATATTAATATACTTATATATGTATTTAATTTATATATTCATATAAATATTTATATTAGATTGCATGTATTAATATTTAACTAATAAATATTAATATTTACTTAATAGGTTATTAATATTTCTGTATGTCCTTCCACATGAAATTCAGCAAAAAGAGAAAACTTAGAAATGAAAATTTAGAAGAACTGTGCCTATGAGAAATAAGAAAGAAAAAAAGAGAAAAGGCGGATTTAGAGGAGGGAAGAAGACAGGCTGACATATGTCACCCCTAACAGCTGGAGGTATTCCACTCCCACCTAAAAGCAGAGACGCGAATAGTTAGCGATCTACAAACAATCCAGTTCTGTCCATCAGATCTCAATAAACGGGCTGCAAAATTAGGTCCACATCATAAATCTGAAATTTTCAATATATTCAATATATTACACACACACCCACACACACATACACACACTGCAAAATTAAAAAGTAGATCTTTTTTCCTAAACACTACAATTTGGTATCATTCAGATTTCTTCTCTCAGGACAAGCTACATAATTTGCAGGTCTTTCTAGGAACAGGGCCCTAAGCAACTGCACCAGCTGGAGACCCACGAAGTCAGCCCTGTTTATTCTTACTCGAGAAAGTGGGGTAAAGAGCCAACCACACAGACAACACATGGAAAAGTTAGTTTGACAGACTGCCCAGCCTCACTCCAGTCAATGTTCACTTGATGCATATTTGCTCAAAGACACTAAGTAGAGTTTTGTTTTGTTTTATGAAATGACCAATTTATCGACTAATTATCTGCCTATGGATTCTTCTTATTTCATGAGTGAGATCTGTGGAGTAACTACGCATTATGCGCTTTTATTTACGACTTCACTCAACGTGGCTCCCAAAACCCTCCTCTAGGGAGGTTATAAAAAATAGAATTCTGTACTTCAACTTCCCAGCAGCAGGCTTGGTACAGTTCTTCCCCTTGGTTCTTACCCAACTGATGCATTCTGCAGAAGAGAATGAAGTTGGGGAGGAGTTGCTGAAAGCATCAGTCTCCCTTCCTGCGTCTCTCCTCTCAGAATGGTTTAATTGGAATAATGTAACTGCTTAAAGGACAATGTGGCAGGTAATAAGCACTCAATAAATGTTAGCTATTACTGAAAATGCATGCATTAAGGGCTCCTCATCCTGCACTGCTCCCGTGTTCAATGCTTCAGACCCTCTTTTTAAATTATCTTTGGCATCTGCAACTTAGAATGTGCTACATCCATTCTTCTACTTTGCACAGCTCAAATTTTTTTCAAACATTGAAATTCAGCCTATTGACCTTATTTTTCCAGTACAGAGATTCTCAACACTGGCTACACTTCAGAAATGCCTGGGGAGTTGTTACTGTCATTGTTTAGAAGCTATGAATGGACTATATGCCAGGATATTCTCATGAGTCTAGGGCCCACATACCAATATTTTTTACAAGTTACTTAAGCTGAGAACCACTTGATCTAAAACTTGGCAGGTTCTATTATTATTTAAATTATGGAATAGAATTATACCAGAGAATCCAAATAAGAATAGATGGATTTCTTTAATCACAAAAAGATCAGCTACCTACCCATCCATCAAATTTCCATAACTAAGGAAAGCTAAATTTCTCAGTTGTAGAGGAGATTCCAGTAATGCATGTGAACTTGAGTTCAATGACCACTAATTCTCTAAAGCAGCCCAAAGAATCCAACAGAACAATCAGAAAGTTACAATAACGGAACTATTATAAAGTTTTGAGAAGTAAAAGTAATTCTCATCAAAAGTTATCAGAAGCTTCTAAATAAAACCCTGTACTTGCATATAATACCCATTTCTAACTAAGTCATCATTAGGGAGATGAATTGCTTGCTTGAAGCAAAGCTCCAGAAATGCAGAAAAGGCAAACAGGGGGGCGCCTGAGTGGCTTAGTCAGTTGGGCATCAGACTCTCGATTTCAGCTTGGGTCATGATCTTGGGGTCATGGGATCGAGCCCTGCATTGGGCTCTGCATTCAGCAAGCAGTCTGCTCAGGATACTCTCTCCCTCTGACCCTCCTCCTCCCCCACATACGCTCTCTCTCTCTCACTCTCAAATAGATGGATAAATCTTTAAAAAAAAAAAAAAGGCAAACAGGAAAAATATTTTAAAACTAAAATAGAGGAGTCAATGTAAATAGCTACCTACAGGTAACAAGTAAGATCTATGAATTTTCCCCTCTCCATGATCTCTCTATACAGCATAAACAAAAATATTTCTGCCATATAAAAAGTGCATATGTAGAAGAGTTGCTATTAGGAATGTTATGAATTCTCAAAACAATAAATAAACATTTATTCAAATAAAAATTTCAAAACACATTCTAAAAGTTCTAGGTCACCGCATCTACCATCGCTAGTAAGACAGACAAAGAAAAGGGGGAGAATTTACTGTACTTCAAATTGCTTCTTCTTTTAAGGGCACCTGGGTGGCTCAGTCAGTTAAGCGTCTGCCTTCGGCTCAGGTCATGATCTCAGGGTCCTGAGACTGAGTCCCGCGTTGGGCTCCCTGCTCAGCAGGGAGCCTGCTTCTCTCTCTCCCTCTGCTGTCCCCCCTCACCCCGCTTGTGCTCTCTCACTCTTGCTCTCTCAAATAAACAAAGAAATAAAGAAATTCCTTCTTTTATATAGTGATCAGTAATGAAAAAAGCTGTACTTCCTATTGAGACTCTTGTAAAAGTAAAAATTGCCCCAACAAGTCAGAATTAAGTTGAGCGCTGACTATGGCAAAGGATCTAAAACAAAGTTTACACTTTCATTCTTTAAGATTAGTCTCAGAAGATTTAAATGTTCATCTATTTACCATACAGCTTCTTGTGGAATGGCCATCCGCAAGTTTGGATCTTTCTCAAATTTCTTTACATTTTCAAACCTGGGCATTTTTGTATTAACCCCAAACTTGCAGCAGGTTAACATAATATGGTTTTCTCTCTCATGGGAAGATCAGTGCAACTCCGCTGGGCCACCGCCTTCCATGCAGCAACTCAGCAACCAAGGCTCAATCAAGTGCACCTTCTCGGCTTCACGGGGGCAACACGAGGTGATCTTGGGTGTTAGAGTAGGAGAGCTCAGAGCCGGCAGGTTGTACAGCGGCTTTTCTGTTTCGTCTACAAAATACCACACGTCACAATACCACACATTGTTCTGTTTCATCTACAAAATACCACACGTCACAGAGCCCATGGCCCTGAAGTAGTTACGTGACTCTATCAAACTCTGAGAGCTGAGGGACCTAGAGAAGCAGATGAAATGTTTTATGAGCAAGAGCCTGTGTCAGATTCTGTTTAACTGTGCTCCTCTGTTTTAAAATAGCACTTTTTTATTTATCCTACACTGAGATATATACCAAGTTTACAGCGTGTACCTCATTTCCTAGGTTCTAGTAAATACGTATTCATCCTCTCTTCATGACTTCAAGGATTATGTTTTTGTGCCTCTGAAACTGCAAATCTTTTAGTACATACCCACGGCAGATCACCGAGAACTTGATTAGAATGTATAATATTTATCTTCTAGAGTTCTTTCCTAACTTCACATGTTTTTTTCTTGGTATGCAATGAAATACACTCCAGGTTCAGCATAACTATGGTATTAAACAGAAGGAAATAATAGGTTCTGTTTCTTTGTAATATCTTTTTTTGATGAAGTTCAAATTTTTAATGAATGGTCTATCTGAAACTGAACAGTGGTGCTTCAAGTATCAATCAACAATACCATAACCTCTTTAGCTTGAGTACTCTTATATGCAGAGTTGTATAAATTTTCCCTAAAGCATTGTACATACCTACACTAGAGTTCATGTTCTACTTGTTCTACTTATTCAGCTAATCCTTTCTGTTTGACCTTCCAGAGAGCAGCCCTGGACAGTACAATAGTAGGCTGGGGATCATGTACTTTCATTGGAGTAGACTCTGAAATGAGAGGATTGATGGTATCTCCAGTGGAGCTAATAATGGGCCGTACCATAAATGGAACATGCTTTGGTGGTCAGTTTTTTTTCTCTTTTAATTTTCTCCATAGTGGTATGCAAATTCTTATAAAGAAGATTATTGAATGGAAAGGAAAACTGTTTAAATATTGAGTGCCTAATAACACATCTAGAGACTGCACAAAAGTTATTCTAGGAATTATTTGAAAGTAAACAGTTTCTATATATGGATAACTACAATTTGCAAACTGAAATTCAATTTGCATTAAAATGAACCAACACAGAGGAACAAAAGGTAAACTTTGACCAAACGGAGATAATTCCTTATCTAGAAATAGGAACTAATTTTAACATTTCTTATTAAGAAAAACTTTTAAATAAATAAAAGTGTAGAAAATTAAAGATGGGAGGGATAATCCATTTGAAGCAACCCAAATCTTACCTAGTAATTTCATTCACTCAACAAACTGATTAAACTACTGTCACCTACCATGTCTTTACTTGGCATTTTGGTCAAATTACAGGTTGGAAAAGCATCGATTCTATCCCAAAGCTGGTTACTGACTACAAGAATAAGAAATTTGATCTGGACATACTGGTGACTCATACCCTGCCTTTTGACAAAATCAATGAGGCATTTGACCTGATGAACCAAGGCAAAAGGTAAATTAACAAACAGAGGAATAAGTGGTTTGAAAAACCTTTACGATGACTCTTTATTTGATGTTAAGAACTAACCAGTTTGTCTTTTCTGACATTTTCCACATCATCACACATCCTAGATGTGCTTGAAAGATTAAATAGTGGCCTCTGGAAAAAAGAAAAGCTTCCTACTCTATTTCCATAATATACACTGCCACACACTATCCCAACATAGAGTGATGATATAAACTGATACATATTTTCCCTTTCACAAACAACTGTTAACTCAGTTGGGGCTGCTCCCTAGAAAGAAAGGTTTCCACAGTATAATGTCAGGTCACTCTGGTGCAATACAGCCCTGGGTCTCGCATCATTATGTTCTGCAATTAACAAAAGAATGCCCACTCCAGGCCCTTCATGATCAGAACCAGGTGAAAACCATGGATATGTGAGCAGTGAGTGGCTCGTTTAAAGAAACCTAAAGGATGACCCAACGCTCTCTTGCTTTGTCCCAGGTCTCCTATAAGATAACGTTCTGATCCACAGTTTTAGCTATATTGTGCTCCTCTGGCACAGACCCTGAGAACTAATTTATAGAAATGTCCCAACTGGGGGATCTGCAGCAATTGAGGAGCAGGGGACACTAGGATCAATGATTTTGGTTAAAATGATCAAGCACAGCTTGGTCAATAGAAGCAAAAGGAAAAACACCAGGAACAGTTTCACAGAGGAGATGAAGGACCAAATAAGCAATAAAAAGAGAAGATATCACAAAATAGGGAGGGGGGGGGGAGCCTAAAGTTAAATAAAGTTAAATGACATGAGTTTGAAGCAGAAAATAAATGTGGCAAAAGAAGAAAATGGGTCCATGATGTGAGGACCCAGGCTACTTCCTGGGAAAGAAACCTGAGAAATTATTTCTACTGACAGGAACTCTCTAATTTTCAAACACACTAGGTGCAACGTATCAAAAAGAAGTTCAATAAAAAGAAAAAGAAAAAAGAAACATTATTTAAGCTACATAAAATAACTTAGTGTATAAGCCCTGCAATATCTTGCACAATCTCAATATCCCCATAAGGAGCAGCCCTTATGTCAGGAGTTAGGTTGGGAGTTCGGGGCCTTAGACCCTAAAACTCTTATCTCCTCCACCACCACACCTTTTCCCCTAGAGTTCTCAGTTATGGAATATATCCACAAGGAATGCTAAGTGGCAGCTAAATGGAAAATAGTGAATTACTTTATTAACAGCTGGGCAAGTCTCCCATACTCTTAAAGTAGGCCTGATAATCAGTGGAAGAATGGAAGGCCGAGGGCTAGATACCTGAATGAGGCCACCTACTTCCCCTCTGGCTCACTGGGAAGACCACATTACTGCCCACACCGATGGAACGGTGACAGTGGAGAAGGCAGAGGATGGGACTTAGCATATGGGTATAGAAGCAAGGAAGTAGAGAGAGTACAACCCCCAGTTGGTCTTTTAAGGTGCAGTGACCCCAACTCATGGTGAGGAAAGGACACAGAGGTTCTCTCTCCACAGGCAGACAGATGTAGTTCCAGTCTCTGGGTGAAGACAACATCATGGATGGCAACCTGCTAATGCCAGGGATTCCACAGCTCCAGCAGCAAGGTGGAACATACGGAAGTCTCTGTTCTTGAGGCTTACCCCCTTCTTTGCTTCTGCATGTTGAAGGAATTATCCAGGAGTAAGAATATTTAGGTTCTCAGAAAGCATCATCCCAACACACCAAGCAGTTACTATTCCAAGATGAAAACCCCACTACAACCTTAGCATGTTTACTCTGTAGCACCATCAGGCAGCACAGACCTCACCCAGGGTCACGTGAGGGTCCCCAACTTTTCCCAGCTTCCTAGCATCATATACAAAGTATTATTAATTCCATGAATGTCAAGATAAAAGAAATTAGGGATAATGTGCTAATTTCTTTTCTTGATAGAAGTCTATAAAGAAAGATTAAACCAAATGCTGAAAGAAAAATACAAAAATTATTTGTGGGTTTTGGTTAGATTTACCATAAAAATTATGCTATTGTCTTATTATTAACAGCATTCGAATAGTCCTGACCTTCTGAAGACACCAGAACAAACTGGAATACTACCTGACTGAATCTGAACCCTTCTTGTTAATTTATAACCTGTAATAATGAACCAAGGATTGCCATGAATTTAAACAACTATTTACAGTTAACATCTCAACATCAAATAGTTATAAACATCACAGCATTTTTAAATATATTAATATTTCCTGTTTAGTAATTATGATAACTGATGTGTTATTGAATAGAATTACATGATGAGAATTGTTTAAAACTAGTTCTGGAGAGGTGGGAGCGGGGAATGAAGAGTAATAAGTAAAGCTAGATTGGCTGTTTGTTTATAATTTTTTAGGTTGGGTGATAAATATATGGGGTTTCATTACACTGTTCTCTCTACTTTTGTTTATGCTTAAAATTTTCCATAATAAAATCATTTTTACTAGAAAAAAATTACTATTATATATGTGTACATAAGATACATATGTCTTTAAAATATGTCATATATATAAAATGCTATTACATAATTTCTGGGTTTCAATAAGCTACAAGCTAATCTTCTTTAATAAGCTGCTAAATAATTTCCTTTTTAACATCTGGTATTTTCTTTTCTCTTAGCCCTGTTTTACCACTATGAACTGTAATCACAAGCAGTGGGATATCAGAAGCTATATAAATGAGTATAGATATATAAAAAATGAAGATTTTTTAAAAGAAAAAACACACCTATACTCTCAAATTTCCATCTTTATTAATTGCCCTTTTCACCTTTGATAATCATGACAACATATAATGTTTAGAGCTTTAGAGTTTAACAATCCGTAATTAGCACTAAGTATTTTTTATAGTCAATTAAAAGTGACAGAGAGCAAAGTACCTATTATAAACGCAGTAAGTAAAAAGTTACAAGACATAACAGACAATTAGATTTATATAGGCTTTAGTGGGAAAGGAGGGGAAAAAATTAAAAATAAAAAAGATTTATATGAAAAGCAAAATGAGTGTTTTCAAACAATTATCCTCATAGATGCTACAATGGACAGTTTAAGGATAAGAGATAATAATTTGGATGGGAGTAACAAACACTAGCTATCAGCTTAGCCTAATTCCTGAAACCCCCTGGTTTTATTTTTAAATGTTTACCACATATTGAACTCTGAGAGAAGATAAACCTCTCGGAAGCTTTGGCAGAGGAGGTTGATAATATCTCAAAGTAGAAACTTACATTCCTGCTTATTGCAGACTCTCTTTCGTTAGAAATGGAAGCCAGTTCATCTGTCTGTAAATGCTTGCTTTGTTGGCATTGTGGGGAGTAGGATGCACCCAACAGGGGGCTGTCCTTTCCCACACTATTCCCTGTATCAGGTGTGTTCTGTCTCCTCATCCCCTCAGCCTCCACTCCTCAATCTTTCCCCAGCCTCGCTTGAGACCCACCTCCTTTTCAGCTGTTGACAGCTACAGAGCTGTTTCCCTTCCCTGATCATCTTTGGCTCTTAGTGTCTTTATCGAAAACTTAACACATGCCCCTTCCATTGTTAGTTTTTCAAGCATGTTTGTAAACTTCTTGAAGGCAGAACAGTCTTTGAATATATCCCTCTGTTAGACATAATAAATACATGATGCTTGACAAAGTTTATCCTCACAAGTCTCTGGTTTATTTTAGAATATTTCTTTTGAATGATATTTTTCCAAAACATTTTCTACATGCCCCTTTTTTTCCTAAACAGAGATTCATAAACCAATCCTAATAACTCAGAATGGTCGTTATGAGGATTAATTTTTATGCCAAGTTGTGTGATGCAGTAGTTTCTCTCCCTCTCCCTTTCCTTCTATCTCTGCAATCACTCCTGCAAGTCAGTGACCCCTGCCTCTATTCATCTTCTAATTTTCCAAGTTTGGTTATGTGACTTGGAAAAAAACAAACAAACAAACAAAAAACTTCATTATTCTCCACAATGCTGTTAAAATTACTTATAGAATCAGTGAAAACCCAAAATGATGTGTATGAGGTTTAAAGCTTAACTTTGATCATTCCTTTGGCAGTGGAGACCTTTTTTCTCATCCGTGCACCCAGCTGAAACTCCTAGTATATGTAATTACAATATAATTCTTCAAAATGTACACCTAATGCCTAAGTCACCCAAACATCTTTCTTAAAATGAGAAATGAATGCTGAATCTATATGATACTCCAGAAACCAAAATCATGCACCAGTAATGCATTTGGCAATGTGCAGAAAAGTTCCATTTAAAAACTGCCCTTTATTTTTTTTAAAGATTTATTTATTTATTTGAGAGACAGAGACAGAGAGAGAGTGCGGGCAGGAAGAGGGGCAGAGGGAGAGGGAGACAAGCAGACTCCCACTGAGTGGGGAGCCCGACGCAGGGTTCAATCCCAGGACCTGGAGGATCATGCCCTGAGTTGAAATCAAGAGTAGGACGCCACCCAGGTGCCCCTAAAAATTGCACTTTAAAGACATAAAAATAAATCTGCAAGCTACTGACAATTATGTTTTTCCTAAGGGCTCTCACATTCACTCTTCAATTTTAAATGTTACTTTTTAAAATACTAGGGGCAACACACAAATCACAGTATTTCTAGGGTACCAAGTTACTGAAACAAAACTGGAATGGAATTTGATCCCTCCAAAGGGAAAAAGAAAATTATTTTAAAGGTTTGGATTCTCTAACATAGTAAGATATTCAGGTCTATTTTGTGTGTGTGTGCTTTCTCAGCCTGAAATTATTACAAAACTTTAAGAATGTAAGTTAATAGGATGAACAATACTTGAATTTAGAAGGCAATACAATCATGATATATTCTTCTGACAAGAAAAACGCAGTTTTAAGATATAGTCCCAGTCTCTCCAAACATCTTAGCTTGTCATTGTTTTCTAAATGCTACTACAGCGCCCTCTGGTGTTCTTTAAAACATTTTTCCCATCTACCCAGATCCTATTTTCTTGGGGGAAAAAAAAAAAAAAGGATTCAGGGAAAGAATAACAAGTTTCATTTATACCATAGTTGACATTTTAAAAAGTACTTGCGGGCGCCTGGGTGGCTCAGTTGCTTGAGCGACTGCCTTCGGCTCAGGTCATGATCCTGGAGTCCCGGGATTGAGTCCCGCATCGGGCTCCCTGCTCAGCGGGGAGTCTGCTTCTCCCTCTGACCCTCCTCCCTCTCGTGCTCTCTGTCTCTCATTCTCTCTGTCTCAAATAAATAAATAAAAAATAAAATCTTTAAAAAAAAAAGTACTTGCATGTGCATTATTCCATATGATTCTCCAGAATTTTGAATGGACCATAAATTTTGAGAGCAAGGCCATTTTTCATATTCTTTGAGTGCCTTGCAGATAGGCCCTCCAGCAATGTGCTCTATCAGGTAGACAGGGCAGAATTTATGAACCTCATAGAATAAATCCTATGTTACAGGGAAAAGAGACTTATGAAAACTCTCATAAGCAAGTAAGAAAAATCTTGAAGGTTCACAGAAACTTCAAGCTGAACATGATCTTAAGAATGGATGGTTGGGGCACCTGGATGGCTCAGTCATTGAGCATCTGCCTTCGGCTCAGGTCATGATCCCAGGGTCCTGGGATCGAGCCCCGCATCCGGCTCCCTGCTCGACGGGAGGCCTGCTTCTCCCTCTCCCACTCCCCCTGTTTGTGTTCCCTCTCTCACTGTCTCTATCAAATAAATAAATAAAATCTTTAAAAAATAAAAAATGGGACGCCTAGGTGGCTCAGTCGTTAAGCGTCTGCCTTCAGCTCAAGTCATGTCCCAGGGTCCTGGGATCAAGCCCCACATCAGGCTCCCAGCTCAGCGGGAAGCCTGCTTCTCCCTCTCCCACTCCCCCTGCTTGTGTTCCCTCTCCCTCTGTCTCCGT